TGCTGGGATCATGGATTCTATCAGAGGAGCCAGCCTGGGCAAAGTTGCAGAAGCTCTCGGAGGTTGGGCACAGCAGGAAGCTGCATTCTCTTACGTCTCTGGCCACTGTGACCCCTGCCTTCTGAGGCTGCTACATCTCTCCCTCCTATTGGCCCCAAGAATCGCTGTTGTCCCAACTTCTGTCACTGGTCTTCCTCCACACCCATGGCTTCAGCTCTGCCCAAAGGCCTCCCGAGCCTTCATCTCCAGCCCAGATTTCACTCCTGAGGGCCCAACTGCCTGACAGCATGTCCATTCGGGCCCTTCATATCCACCCAAGTCCTGCGGAATGGACATGGGATTTATTTCTACCTGCATCTGGCCAGCCTTCCCAAACAGGCCCCCACCCCCAGACTCACATGTCCTCTGTGGCTCATCAACTGCTGAGCCCTAGGGCTATTTCCGTCATGATGTTTATCGTCTCTCTCCTTTCCTCAACGTCCCTACCACCTCCAACTAGGCCTTTGCACTTTCCAGGCTATTGATTACAGCTATTAAGAAAATGCTCCAACTGTTCCTAGTCATCCCTTCTCCCAGTCCTTTTCTCCCTCTACCACCTCTCCAGAATCCTGCCTTTCCATATGATTTGATCATCTATAGTATAGACCTAGAGAACATTATAGACTCTATGCCATCATCTGATTCATTATCCTAATAGTCAACAATAACTATAACTGTCTGCTCAAAACATGGCCAGGGGCTCCTGGCCACTAGCTGGGTCTTTAGTGTTCCCCTGCCCTCGCCTTGCTCTTCTGCTAGATCCCAGGCTTCTACTCCACAAGCACAGGCTATCACTTTGTTTCAGGCACACAGCTTGACTCATATTTCTGGGTCTCACAGTGCCCAAGCCTACCTGAATCTTCACTCAGTTCCCTCCCTCTGCCCAGATGCCTCAGCCCTGGTCACCCAAGTCTTGACCACCCTCCCAGTCCCCATCTCAACTCTAAGGCCTTCATGAAGTCCCTCCTACCGCAGCTCATTCGCTTCTGATGTCCAGGCCCCCACCTACCTTCTATTCAGGATATAGGTCACTGTTGACTGTACTTGTATGTTCCTTAAGCCAAGCCCACCAGGCGAGGAGCCCACTGACCTGCAATCCCAGGAGCAGACTTGATGGCCTGGCTGCCATAGACCTGATTTGAATTATACCTGCAAAGAACTCTGGGCAGCAAGTATCTACTAGGCCTCCGTTTCCCTGCTAGGCACTTAGATCAATCCCTGAAGTCTGGCCTAGCTAGTTGGCTCCCAGCCACCCTAGCTAATCTTATCAGTTTCCTGGATGCTGTTTGCTAAACTCCCCACCATTCAGCAAGAGAGAGATAGAGAGAGCACGAGTGTGTTGGAGTCAGGGATGTTTGTTGCTCAGAACCAGAACCAGGAGGAAGCTGCTGCCCGCCCAATTTCACCTGTGTCCTCCTGCCCCTGTCACTGTGGAAACGCTCCCTCCAGATAAGACCCGAGGGCCACAGAGAACTACAGCTTCAGAAACCCAACTCATATTGGCCATGGCCCACCAAACAAGAAATTTCCAACTGCAGCTCTCCCTTCTTCCATGCCTTCACCCATCTAGAAACGGAGCTGTTCTACAGTTTGCCTTGTCCCTCAGATCCTGACACCTGCCCCTCCTGCTTTATAATAATAGCATGCATATATATATATGAGATAATACCATGTGCTGACGCTGCTCTACACACTTTACATATATTGATTGACACATTTAGGCTTCACAGCAACCCTTTGAAGTAGGTAGTACTATATCCCCACTTTACAGACCAGGAAACTGAGGCATTGGGACAAGTAGTGAAACTAGCACAGGAACCCAAGCAATCAGCTTCAGAGTGTGTGCTCTTTACCTCTCTGTTCCTCCCCATATCCCACTCCACGATCCCTGGAACAGTCTGACCCCTCCCAAAGGACAAACCACACATCCAGAACAGGGCTGCATCCACTCTGAGGAAGGTGTATCCACTTCTGTGTCACACAAAGGTGCCATGCGGGCAGCCTGCTGCCCAGCTGTGAAACGAAGTAAGCCTGGCTGATTTACCTCTGAGTTGGAATTTTTTTTTTTCCTTTTTGTCTATTTTCGTGACCAGTAACGGGATCGCAACCCTCGGTGTCGTGCCCACATCGCACTCAACCAGTGAGCGGACCGGTCTCTATATGGGATCCGAACCCTCGGCGGGATCGCCAGCGCACTCCCAAGTGCCACACTCTACTGAGTGCGCCACCAGGCTGGCCCTCTGAGTTGGAATTTAATCTCTGTAAGTCTGGTATCCATTCATTCTTTCATTCATTAAATATTGATTTTATGCCTGCCATCCTTAGATACTAACTATGTCTGTCCGAAGGCAGTGAGCATAAACTGACTTAAACACATGTAAGCATTTATCTGATGGGTCTTCTCCTAAACAGGGGTTGACAGTTTCCTGAGAACAGGGACAGTCTCACAAATAGACCTCTAGCAATGTGCATCTACTGGGTGTTTAAGACATGCTTGCGGAAGACAGTGACAACTGGCAGGTGACATTTGGATGAGGCTTGGACATCCTCTACCACCTCCACCCCCCAGGTCACAGGTGTCACACAGAGAGACCAGAAAGACTGGGGACCAGAACCCATCCCTCCTGACTTGCAGGCCAGAGCATTTTCCCACTGCCTGAAGTTGCCTCTTAGGAACCGAAGCACTTCAGAGAAAAAGGATAAGCAATTTCTTCAAACAAAGGTATGAAGAAACGTGAGAGCAACTTCAATTAATCCCGAATGTGGGAAGAATTCTGAAGGTCAGAGGAATGGAAAAGGTAAGTCAAGAAAAAAGTTGGCATTCAGCAGTGGAGATAGCTGAGCTGATGAACGGCCTTTGAACACTTGGGTTATTTCTTTATTTGCTTCCAGTTCTTGTGTGATTGTTAATTCCAGCTAAAACTTCCCAGTGCCTTGCTCACATGTGTGGTACATTATGTACTCATCTGGCAGCAAGACTGACACCTCCCCTGGCAACTGCCCTAGGAAGTTTCAAACACACTTACGTGTTTGTGTCCCAACAACAACACAGAAAGGAAACAAAAAGAACACCCGGAGTGTGCTACACTGACTCTCTGGCAGGACTGCGAGTTAACAACGTCTTCTCTGCAAGAGGAGCTCCACAAACGTGAGCAAGTGAGCCTGGGCTCACTAACTGGGAGTTAGTCCGAAGGCTGGACTAACTGGGACACTTGGTGAAGCAAAAGAGCAACCCAGGCCGTGGTAACCCTGGGGCTGCAACCTGAGGTCCCCTTTGCAGAAATGAAGATAATTCGTTCTGGAGATTTTCCTCTCCACATTCTCTCTGCTTAAATAAACCCTGGTGAAAAGAACTCCTGCTCTGATTATCCATGGAAAGGTTCCCTGGAATGTTGGACCAAGTCTCTGGAATGTATAGATTTAATGAGCCAATTTGGAAATTAACGCAGATGAAAAGGGAGTGTTAAGGTCACATTACACACAGAATCACTACCTGAGTCAAGTGCAGGGGTCTGGGAGGTCCCTTAGAGCTTCCCGCAAGTGCACTTAGCATGATCTAAACCCAAAACCTTGGCCCATCTGCAGTTTTATTTTATTTTATTTTATTTTTTTGTCTTTTTTCATGTCCTGCAATGGATCGCAACCCTCAGTGTCACGCCCGTACCGGACCAGGACCGGCAACGGGATCGCAAACCTCGGTGTTGCGCCTGCACCTCGCTCAGCCAGTGAGCGGGAACCGGTCTGTATGTGGGATCCGAACCCTCGGCGGGAGCGCCGCCGTGCTCTCAAGCGGCGCACTGTAGCAGTGTGCCACCGGGCCAGCCCCCATCTGCAGTTTTAGGTGTGGAGGGGTCCGCAAGATCACCCATAGACTCGTTAAGGACAGGACACAATCTTCACTAAGAATTCTGAAATGTTGAAAACATGGTTTCCAAATTTTTTACTGAGGAAAGATCTCCCCACTCTTAGTCTATTGAGTATCGTGTTTTGAGATATTTTCCCTGCTAAACAAACGTCATCCCTGCCTCAAATGATTTTGTCAAAATACCAGTCCAGGCTTCTGATCAGGAAAGAGATAATCGAGTTTGAGCCATGCATATTGATATATTTACAGAGTACGAAATTTAAATTGGAGTTACCTTTGTGCTTTTGCTTCCAATGGTTTTTTGTTTTAATATTGAACAGCCTTGGCAAATTCATAAAGACAGAAAGTAGATAGGAGGTTACCAGGGTCTGGGAGGAGGGGAGGGTGGGAGTTATTGTTTAATGGTTACAGACTCTGTTTAGAGTGATGAGAAATTTTGGAATTAGTGGTGACAGATGTGCAACATTATAAATATAATTGATGCCATTGAATTGTACACTTAAAAGTGGATAATACGGCAAATTTTTGTTACACATATTTTACCAAAATTTAATAATGTAATATACCAAAACCATTGAACTGTACACTTTAAATAGGTAAATCGTATAGTGCATGAACTATATCTCAATAACTGGTTTACAAAAAGAAAAAGCAGTATTGAATGGCCTTGGGATTTTAACTATTACCTTCCTCCACGGCTTGGGAGCTTAGGGGCCCAGGATGGGATCAGTCACTTCGTCCAGCTTCTTTTCTCTCTCTTGTGCTGCAGATGAGGCGGTAGAAGATGGGGGTGGGGGCGGTGGAGAGCGTGGGGTGTGTGTGTGTGTGGGGGGTGAACAATGCACCCATCAGCTGTTGCACAGCCAGGAGCCTCCTGAAATACCTGCCCAAGGGAGTGCTGCCCCCCACCCCAGGCAGACACCATTTCTCCTCATCCCAGGTTTTACTAACTCTTTAGAGCCCTTTTCCCTCCACTGAGGGCACTGAGCCATCTGACTCAATCTTCAAAGAAAAAGTCTTTTTGTTCAGAGACGTATTCAGGGACTTTAAGCACTGCACATGATTCTTCCTCAATAGCCTTTGATTTTTCTTCCAGGGCTTGATCAAGTAGGTTCAACTCAAGCATCAAGACCAGGTTGCGGTTTCAATCCAACATGCCTGGGGAAGGGGAAATATCCTATCAGATGGGAAGTTGGAAGAAGTGTCAATGAGAGCAGAAGCAGAACTTTGCTGGGAACTTGGGGTTGCATCTTGTATTACAAAGGGATGGGGTGTCTGGCAAAGACCAGGACCAAGTTACAGATTCGGACTTGCAATTAGGCACCCCCTCCCTGAAAAAAGTCCCCTCTGGGGTCAGAGATGCTAGTGAACTCCTGTAGACGAAGTCAGGGCAGCAGAAGGGCAGGCCAGATGCCCTCTGGCTCACCTTGGCAACATCGGACATCTGACTGCTCTCACCTCATCCTTTGCCCTGAGGATGGCTACCCGGTCCCCAACCCTCACCTAACCCCAACAAATACTGGGGGCTCTGTTTCTGCTAGGTCTCTGACAAGGTGCCATCTTGTCATCACACCTCCTTCCACTTCAGTACACGGCAGAATGTGGCTACACCTCCTTTCTGGCACAATGTGATCTGGGGTTGTCTTCAGTCTACTTTGAGTCCCTCCCACTTCTTTTTTTTTTGTCTTTTGTCTTTTTCTGTGTCCGGCAACGGATCGCAACCCTCAGTGTTGCCCCCGTACCGGACCGGGGACCGGCAACGGGATCGCAAACCTCAGCGTTGCACCCGCGCCTCGCTCAGCCAGTGAGCGGGAACCGGTCTGTATGTGGGATCCGAACCCTCGGGCGGGAGCGTCGCCGCGCTTCCCAAGCAGCGCACTTATCCAGTGCGCCACCGGGCCAGCCCAGTCCCTCCCACTTCTAACCACTCAGGAGTCAAGGTCATGAAAAGATAGGATACTCAAAAAAGGTTTTTGGAAATTTGAGGCTACTCCTGAACCATGAAGAACAGAGCAGGGAAGGAAGAATTCCCCCCTCCCCTTCGTATCCCATCAAGAACATTTTGCAGCAGACACTCCTCACTGTTTATATGGAGGGAAAGAACCTAAATAAACAAAAAGCCCCAGCCGCACTCGGCATCATGGCCACATCAAGCCATACATGTCACTTGAAGAACTGTTTGGTACTGTTTACAGAGAGGCCTATTAAATACTTTTGAACATCAGCACAGGGTCTGAGGGTTTGAGTCCCACGGAGTGACTCGGGCATAAACAGCTGAGAGGCGGCAGAGCTGCGTGTTATGACATCTGGAAGCACCAGGGCAGAGGGGCTGTGGCCAGGCCATGGGAATCCCAGCGGCAGCTCCCCAACGCTGACCCACGCAGCCCTAAGCCTCTGACGTGCCTTCTGGAAGGCGGCCAGGCAGCACTTTGTCAGTATTTACAGCCTTACAGCTGGGCTTCTGACTTGCCTGGCTGTCAGCTGACACCAAAGGAAATGTCACCCATTTCTTATAAGATGAAGATCTCACCTTAGGAGGTGAGAAGGAACATAGCTTCACTCTGCTTTCAATGAAAACGACAAAAGGAGGTGCTTACTAGACTGCCTGGTGAATACCTGAAAGAAACCTAGGTAATTCAGACCCACCTAGGAAGAGTGCTGCTAACCTCAACTGCATGAGTGCAGTGGATGTATAGATTTATGTTTGGGTAACCTAGCTTTGGCCCAGTCTCAACTTTTAAAATCAATCAGGTCAACCCTTCAACTATAAAGTTTAGTGTACTTGGATTATACTTTAATAAAGTTGAAAAAAATCTTAACAATTAAAAAACCAGGTCAATTGATAGACATTTGAATCTCCTAAACCATGTTCTTGGATGAATAGTACCTGACCTCTGCTGACACAGCTCCTGTGACAGGAACTCACAGCCCCCAAAGCAGCTGTTCCAAGACTGGACTTCTATTAGCAAATGCTTCCTTTACTGAGCTGAAATCAGCCTCCTGGAAGCTTCTATCCACTAATCAAGGCCATAAAGAACATGTTGGATCCCAGTGATCACAGAGAGCCCTTTGGAAGCTGAATTAACTGAATTACCAGCACCACCCCCTGGGTCATTAGTGTATGCGAATAAACACAAACACACACACACAGGCATGCGCGTACACACAGATACTTCATTTATCCAGAAGTCTGGTATCTAGCAAGTTCCCGTATCCATAACAAATGTTCCAACCACAAAATTAACACCATAACTGAATTCATGCACTTGACTCCTAGAACAGTACGTCGGCATCTTCATCTGAAGTTATCAAGTTTTGGTTTGGATTTGCTTTTAATAAGTCTGGTTCTGGCTTCCTAGCTCACAAAAAATTAAAAGCTGCCAATAAGTTGCAAAGGAAGCTGGCTCCACTAAGAAGTCAGCCTGGGGGCCGGCCCGGTGGCGCACTGCTACAGTGCGCCGCTTGAGAGTGTGGCGGCGCTCCCACCAAGGGGTCGGATCCCATATACAGACCGGTTCCCGCTCACTGGCTGAGCGAGGTGCGGGTGCAACACTGAGGGTTGCGATCCCATTGCTGGTCCCGGTCTGGTACAGGAGCGACACTGAGGGTTGCGATCCGTTGCCGGACACAAAAAAAGACAAAAAAAGGGAAAAAAAAAAAAAAAGAAGTCAGCCTGACTGTGTTGGGGGAGACAGACAAATGGTCAGAAAGACTGTCAGGAACTAGAGAATTAGTAGCAGCAGCCTAGAGTCATCCAGAGAAGAGGCAACACTACTACACACCTCATCATGTGATGTCCAGGGCAATCAGAGATGACCCTGAGTCTCCAAGAAAAAGGAGGACCACTCAAAGAGTCAAGAGTCGGCTGTTATATGGAACAAACATACTTTCAAAAGCTTTCCATCCAGTGTGGTTATGTCAGCAAACATCATGATACCTAAGGGTTATGATTTTATTACCTAGGTAGTTCATTTTTGGTGGAAGAGCTTGCTCTAAACTGATGCTGCCTAAATGAGGTGTCACTGTGTATTATCTCACAGCGTACAGCATGGTTTTTCAGGGACAAATCATACTAATGATTGTGATGCACAGCACAGTGACAGGCATGTGGTGGCACCACCCTGATTGACTGATTCTCATGGTAAATGGGACTAGGCAAGAAAGTATCAGCTGCTAGAAACACTTACATCACCTGCTTTCATAGAGATAAGAATTGTTGAAATTAGCATATTAATATTTATTCAAAATAAGCAACACCCCTGCCTTGTGATAACTAATCATTCGTGACCCAGCTGCACATTTCTCCATGAATATGTATTTTATATTCTAATTTGCTCAGCAAATCCTTTTCCTAAAGAGCCCAAGAAGGTAAACTGCAGGTTGTTCCTATGACAATAGTTGCAGTTTTACTCTTTCCACAACCTGAGTCCTCAAGCCCCCAAGCCAGCTGCCAGAAGACCAGGACCTTGGGCACGAGCATCCATGAAGGGACAATAACTCTCAGCTGTCTGGGCAGTTGGAGGAAGTACAGCTCATGCCACAACAATGGTTAATCCAAAGTCATTCATGTTGGGTTCAGGAATATAGGACCACACCCAGGTGTGCACAGGTGCACACACACACACACATACACACACACACTCTCCAAGACAACATACCCCTCGGAATCACATCAATCGCTCAGCATTTTATGAACTTCCAGGGTGGAAGCCCCAGCATCAGTTGGGGGTCACAGACTGCTCTGACTATATCAGACAGGTCTAGCTCCGGAGGTGGGGGAGTGGCACTTCAGATCCTCACTACCCTGTACTACTATTTTCATAGCACACGTTACCTTCCAACATATTGTTTTATTTATTTATTATGTTTGTTGTTTGCTGCCTGTCTGTCCCCACTAGAATACAAGCTGTGTGAGGGTCCTGAACATTGTTTTGTTTTGAAGTTGTGCATTAGCAGTACCCAGCACACTCCTCTACACAGAGCAGGTGCTCAGTTATAATTTGTTGAATGAAAGATAAATGAATGGGTGGCTAATCCTGTAGCCTAAAGAAAGATATCAGCCTCGGCAAGCAGTGGGCACACGTGCCACCTGCGGTTTCTCCTGTGCCCATCATTAATTTATCACAGCCCTGTGTCCCAGTAAGTTCAACGGAGCCTCAGAATCATTCTCAACCCAAGATTTCAGGCAGCCACTACCATGAGCTCTGCTCACCATTCCTGGCCCAGGTTATCCCTACCATGGAAGTTGGAAGGTTTTGCTTGCTTGCTTGTTCTTTTTCTTTCTCACGTGGGTCCACAGGCAGGGATTTCATGTCTTCTCACGTGGGCCAGTGCAAATCAATGCTCACTGTGTCTGTTCAGATAAGCAGGGACTCTGGGGTGCAGCCCACATCAGGCAGGGCCTGGACTTGGGGCTTGATCTTCATCTCAACCAGCCTTGGGTATTTTTATTATTTATTATATTATTATTTTTGTTTATAGCAACTTTATTCATAATCGCCCCAAACTGGAAACAACCCAAATAACCTTCAACAGATGAATGTAAACAAACTATGGTACATACAAACAAGATGAATTTCAAAGACATGCTGAGTGAAAGAAGGCAATCTCCAGGTTATACCTTGTATCAGTCTACTTAAGTGACATTCTGGAAAAGGCAAATCTATAGAGACAGAGAATAGATGAGTGTTTGCCAGAGGCTGGGGTGGAGTGAAGGTCTGACAACAAAGGGGAAGCATGAGGGGATCTTTTGGGTGATGGAACTGCTCTGTGTCCTGACTGGTGGTGGATATATGAATCTACATGTGTGTTAAAACACATAGAACTGCACATCCAAAAAAGTTAATTTTATGGTATGTTAATTTAGAATTTTAAAAAATGAAAAAAAAAAAACCCAAATAAAGTTCTGTTTAAAAATGTCTTCAAAAGAAATTTTCCACCTGAATTTCTGCTTGAAAAGCTGCTTCATGGGGCTCTGCCATACCAGCCCTGGTGTTCTGTAGAACAGTCTAGAACAGTGATTTCTCTTCTTCTCCCCCAGCTCCCTCAAATTGTACCCCTGGGCACTCCCTTTGTGAAAGTGAGGTGCAGGTAGGTTTGGAGAGAAAGGACATTTGGCCTCCACTGGGCTCCAGACCCACAGCTCGACGTCAAGCAAA